TTTTCCACTTTTATTATATTATAATATTATAACTAATTTATATTTAAACTTATAAATTACCACTGTGTATTTTGTTTCTAGTTATCAATGGTATGTTGTTTTTTGATTTATGGTATAGAATATTGTATTAGATTACCTAATCTTTCATTATATGTAAAAATATAATATATACTATAAGTTGTTTTGAAGTCACAACACTATAGCCGTACAGTGGACAAGTGTATTATGCTGATTCCTGTGTTTTATATTATATTTTTATGTTACTCCAAAGTGAAGTACCTAGTTGGTTACACTTACACTACTTGGCCTATAATAGTATGAATTATTGTGGCATGATAATTTTAGACAGTGATGGATGGATGCTGTAGTTAGTTGACATAAAATAATTAAAAAAATTCATTTACTGTAACCCTCAATAGAATATCTGATATTCAGATATCTTAATAATTTACAGTAGAGATATAATATTTGTAAGTTGTAATCATTAACTTTCTATTATTTACTTATTAATTATTTTTGTTACCTATTTGCTGCAGTAACATACATTATAATACAAGTATATCAATACATAAAATCTTATAAACACTTGACTTACATTAAAAAAAAAAAAAATTCTTGGTAGTTAATGAAATATTTTGTAGAAGGATAATAATAATATTTAGTCATCCTTATAATTCTTATGTTGTGAATCATAAAGTATAATATTATTTTATTAAGTAGAATATTTATTATTTTATTTCTAGAGAATGATGACGGTATGTATTTATTGTATTATTATTTATTATAACATATTTAATTTTTTTATTTATGTTATTCAATGTATTTGATTGATGTTTCATAACTCGTGTAATGATGATTATCATCAAGTTTTTCTTTATTCACTGAGTTGTTATATTTATTGTTTTAATTTTTTTTTTTTAATTTGTCATAATTAGACAATTTTTTACATAATACAGTATTTGTATTGATAGAAAATTAAATCAAAAATATTACTATTATCTATAACCTATGTATTTATTAACTTGTTTTTGTTTTTCAAAAGTTGTACAGACAGTATTTTATATTCCCTCATTACTATTTTTTCCGACATTCCAGTAACATCTATCATGGCAGAGTTACTCTACTATGAAAGAAGTCTTCCCAGCGAAGAAACTTGTCTAGAGGTCTGTGAGGCGATCAATGATGCAATAGTCAGATAGTAATTCCTTCACTGAATCGATCGCTTCACTTGCCGCATCCTATGGGGCAATAGTTGGAGTTATTCTGGCATGGCACAGGTTGTCAGCCCGCTCGAAAAGTTTCCCTCCTTCCTCGTCGTGCGTTCAAATTATTTTGCTCGTTTTTACCGTCAGTGCGACGCCTTTTTCGTTGTACTTTTTCTTCACAATATATAATTTGTCAGTAAGACATGTTGAATGTAAAATTAAATTTTTCGAAAATTAAACCAACGATTTTTTTATTTTTAATATGTTATCCACATTTGTCGTGTTACAAACTATACTTTCAGTTATACAATGATCGATAAAGTGTGTAGTGTTTGCCTATCGACTTTTTAGAGGTCGAAATCAAGTGTGTAGTTTTCGGATGCAATCTAATAATTAAGGAGGCGTTACAAGTCACATTTGTTTTCTCCGTCTTACAAGTTTACTCTAGCAAATTTTACTCTCTTTAATCTCCGTTTGTTTAAAAATTAGACTAAAATAACCTCTTACAAAATGCAAAGCTAAGATTATTATCCAGGCAATTCCTCTTTTCGAGCTATTTATAACCAACATAATTTTTTTAAATTTTGTACATTATTTTTCAGTAGAAATTAAACCAAATCTAACCTAACTTAGTGATAACAACATAAATTATAGCAGTGCTCTCATTAGTAAATTGTTGTGATATTCTTGATTATATTATATTTTGTTAGACATTAATTTATTAAAGTATCGCTATAGGTAATTCTTAGATTGTGAATTATAAGGTATAATTTTATTTATTAAATAGTATGTTTATTATTTTATTTCTAGATTTCAGACGTAATTATATTTTATATTATTATTCTAATTTTTTTAATTTGTTTAATTTGTTTAGTTAAATTAAACATATGTTTCTCATAACTCATAAGTCATAACTCATATATCTTGTATGATCATCATCGTCCTCAAATGTTTAGTTACTCACCGAGTAATATTATAGCTATGAAATCTTTAGTTTACAAGTCGTATAATTGTTTATAACTATTGGAAATTACTATTATTGCCCAGATAGACCTACCTATAACTAAAAGTATTGTAGTTAATAAGAACATGTTCAGAAATTCAGAATTCAAAAAAATATCGAATACCAAGTGTCGGTTAGTTGAAAGTCACCCTGGTAAGTACAACTGGTATTATAGTTTTAATTTAAAAAGTATCCTGTTTTTGTATTATTTGGATGATATTATGATAATTATAGTGAAAATAAATTATTTCTTATAATATAGGTAGTATATGAGTATCATATAATAATATAAGTTCGTATAACAATAAATTAAGGACCGTATATACATTAGATTTTGACTGAATGTATATATTAGTATTTTTTAAACATGATAAAATATTTTGACTTGTTTTAAGTGGTTTAAAGGTCACTTTCAGTTATAAGTATTTTTCTATAAATTTCAATTTTATTTTATTCGTAGGGTCAAAAAGCTTGAAATTTTAATATAAGGCCACTAATATATTGTTTCAATGATAATTAAAAAATATTAAAAATACATTGTCACAATTTTTTTTTACAAGCATTTAAAGTACGAATTTTGACAAAATTTATCAAATTTAAAAAAATGATTTTGTAAATAAACATTTATAAAATGTTTACTTTATATAGCCAAGGATTAACAATTTTAACCAAGGTTCCACGTAAATTGGTAAATAATTTACATTAGTCACAATAATATCATCAAATTCCTTTTAATATATATTATCATAGGCAGACCGACCATCTTCGTTCAGAAGATTTTCAGTATTGTTTTTCGTATATAATGATACAACATTGAATTAAAATTTAACAAAATCTATTATAGTGATTCACTTGTAACAAATTGTACAGCAGAGGGACACGCACTTGCAAACCTTTTTTACTATTTAATTTCCAATTGTGATAATAAAAAGTGATCTCTTATTTTGTATTCATTTGAAATATGCTTTGTATCAAACTACATAATTTAAACAACCGCAATAGCGATTAACAATGCAGATTATGAATGATGACTTATGTATTATGATTATGGCTTGAAATTTTGTTTTACTTGCAGCATATTTGATTAAAGCTATAAATTATTAATTTTCAAAATAAATGTCCCTCTATTGAAATGTTTAATTAAGTTTTATATAATATGATTATTATTATAATTTTTTGTAGTGCACATAGGTATGTATAATTTTGTTTGTTATTGTTTTCTGTGTGAGATTTCAAGATAATAATATATTAGGTATAATATTAATTATTTCGTCCATTAGCTTGAATGTCCATTTGTAGATAAATTAAACATTGAAGATCAGAAACATTAGAATACATGTCGTTTGTTAAGTCTTAATTTATGAGATACTGTTTTAAAAATGTCATGTTCAAAATGAATATTTCCATAGTAGAATATAACCTTAGGTGCGTTTGACGGTTCTGTAAATTATAAATTAAATACCTTTCAAATGTGAAGCACACGAAATAATAAGTATATATTTGTTTAGATATCTATTCTTAATTAATATGCACATACCTATAGTAAAGAATACGTCATACTATATGATACGGGCAGTCAATATTGCAGATAACATCAGAATTCATACTTTTTCAATTTCGGAGGAGAAAATATGAATTTTATTTTATATTTAATATTCTAATTGTATTATAATATATATTTTTTCTAGAGAACTTTGGTAAGTATATTTTATGTTTATTGTCATATTTTTACTTTCACCTCTCGTGGAATGGCCAGATGACAATTTAAATATTGATGTTTACTCATATCCTGTATTGAAGGGATGTGTACTCAAAAATGTTTATTGAATAGTTGAATGTGTTGTACATAACACTGCTAACGAAGACGTATGACGTTTGAAGCTTCAAATGTTTGCCTTATACCTAATATTACAAATGTATAACTTATGTGAATGTTTTTCTAAAGAACACACATTTTTATAATTCCATATAACTAGTTGTTATAGGTTCCTTCAGAATAATTTTATCTTTCTATCTTGTATTAATAATGTTGTCTATATTATTCGTTATTGTAAAAAAGCACCTTAAATTTCAGTTGTACATGTCCACATATCGTTTTGACTTTTTCAGAAATTACGTTTTCATTTATTTGTTTGATTTACTATGGTCTATGGGTACCATAATTAGTATAATAAAATAATTATTAAAGATAAGAGTAAAATTTTATAAAAATTTGATACATTTTTTCCCCACAAAATCTAGATTTATCTTTAATCATTGTCATATGTCTATATATAATATATATGTTACGGTCAAAGTGTATAAATCGGGCATTGTAATACAGTGCCCGGGCATTGTGCACAATGCTCGTCATATTTGGGCAAAGTTGAATCTGATTTTAATTTGGTTACTTCGCCCGGGCATTGTAATACAAAAGCCGGGCATTGTGTACAGTGCTTAATTGTCTGTGGGCAATGTAAGTTTATTGCGATTTAAAACGATAACGATTATCAATTACATTCCCTCTACGATGGTATCTAACTGATGACTGTAGGTATTTTAACCGGCAATAGCCGATACTGTACCCATATGTGGTTTCGATATCTGTAATAATATAGTAAGGATAATAATTAATAGCTTATTGCTGCATGATAATTTTATCAGAGGTTATACCAACGACAATCTATACCGGAGATATAATATAGAATTTCCGATCAGTTGTAATAACATCATTTAACGGATTGGTTGTGTTTAAACACATATTATTATTATTTTGAATTTTCTTAAAACTTTTATTTTTCTTAGTATTTAAAATGGTTGATTTAAAATTTTATGAAAAATTTAATACTCTTCTGAGTGAAAAAAATTCGAATAATGTATTTTTAAGCAAAGTAAAATATAACCAAGTATTAACAGAAGTCAAACGGTTAAAAAGTGGAGCAAAATTAAAACCAAATGATTATAAATTATTGAAGCGCTATGATATAATGAATGTAAGTAATATTGATAAATTAATTGTTCCGGTAACTGATCCAAATACTATCAAATATTATGTTTATAATGAAGAGTTGTATAACATAATTCATGACGTCCATTTGCAAACTGGACATGGAGGTAGAAACCGGATGGAACATGAACTGAACGCAAAATATAAAAACATTACTAGGGAATGTTTAATGATATATTTAAATCTATGTGAATTGTGTCAGAGAAAAGGTAAAACTGTGAAAAAAGGGCTAGTTGTTAAACCAATAATTTCTTCAGAAATGAATTCTCGTTGTCAAGTAGATTTGATTGACATGCAAGCTCAACCTGATGGAAATTATCGATTTATTTTAGTTTACCAAGATCACTTAACGAAGTATGTTTTACTTAAACCATTAACACACAAACGTGCAGAGGAAGTTGCCTATATATTACTTGATATTTTTACTACATTTGGAGCTCCGTGTATCTTACAAAGTGATAATGGTAGAGAATTTGTTAACAAGGTTATTGAAGAGTTATGTAGTATGTGGGAAGAACTGAAAATCGTACATGGAAAGCCACGGCATTCACAAAGCCAGGGCTCCGTTGAAAGGGCTAACCAGGACGTAGAAAATATGCTTGCCACCTGGTTAACAGATAACAAAACTAATAAATGGAGCGAGGGACTTAAATTCGTTCAGTTTATGAAAAATAGAAGTTTACATCACGGAATTAAGTGTTCTCCTTATGAGGCTATGTTTGGTACACGTGCAAAAATAGGCCTGAAATCTACTTCTCTACCAGAAAGTATCATACATAAACTCAAATCTGATGAAGATTTAGAAACTGCACTGAATTCTATAAATACCACATATGAAATAAATGCTGAGAAACACATTGAAAAAAAATCTATTGATACGTCTTCTGAAGAAAATATTGATATTGACGAAGAACCAGCTGATATTATACAATCAAGAAAGGAAACGATAGAAAAAAAAAGAAGAGAATCGTTGCATAATTTGAATGTTCAAGCTTCAAAAATGAAGACTAACTCAGAAAATCGACTTCGTGAAGGCAAAATTGGCGAAAGCGTTAAAATTAGAATACCTGATGTTGATAAAGCACGGAGTGATCTGCGATCCATTTTAGGAGTCATTATGTCTGGTAATTTTTATAATGAATTATACCTATAGGTATATTTTTATTTTTTATCATGTTATAACTAAAACCTGATTTTTTTTCAGTAAAAAACAATAATTATGAAATTGGTACCACTGAAGGTAAACTTCAACAACTTTATGCTAGAAATCAATTTGAAATATGCAAAGAGTCATTTGTCCAGATTGAAACAGTACCAACAACACCTCCGATATCATTAAGAGAAGCAGCTAGAAAATTTTCTAATCTTGGCGGTCAAGGATATGACCGGTGTAACTGTAAACAGCAATGCAAGACAAATAAATGTAAGTGTAGGGCTGCAGGTAGACTATGTACTTCTAAATGTCACGATAGCTTAAGTTGCCATAATAAATAAAAAAAATTTGTTAATATTCATAAAATAAATTATTATAAATTATTAAGATAATAAAAATTGTTTTATAAATTTTCTAATTAATTAATTGTAATTGCCCACTGTGCTTTGGTCATTCTGTACAATGCCCGGACAAAGTGTATAATTTTCCACATTGTCCATTGAAATTGGGCATTGTACACATTGTCCGGGCACTGTATTATAATGCCCGTTTATACACTTTGACCGTAACATATATATATATATGCCTATCATAGTGTAATCTATTGTACACTATTCTAATCAATTAAACATTATGATTTGCAGCCTCAAACACAGGAAGTACGTATTATTTAATAATTTTTAATAATAAATAGGTACTTAATAATAATATTTTGCATGGAATCGGTCTTTTAAATGTTTGTGGTTTTAATGGAGTTCATTCGAATTAATTTTTAAACGGAAAGGTATAAGAAAAAATTACCACTGAAATTTTGATATTAATTAAAGCATTAAGTTAAGAAGAACCTGCTTGTCCTACTTAATATTGCATTTTATTTATCGAAAATAATTGTTTTTTTTACCTTCTTAAATTTAAAAAACAATTTGAATATCTATAAATAATACAAAAAGAGACAAAATATTTTGTCATGTATAATGCTAATATAAATATTCGGTGAAAATGTCAAGTCTCAGTGAACATTTATTATTGAACTAAATAGGTAGGTACAAAAATAAATTTAATTGATATGTTTGAAAACTGATTTTGATTAAAAACCAGGGGTTTTTCTTTTTTTTTTTTCATCCTGAATATTTAAAAATATTCTGAGAATTTACTTGATGTACGTCACCAAAAAACCAACTTGATCCAATTTTCTAGTATAGAAACTACCCTTGAACTTGGAGATCGAGGCATTTTGTAGTAGAATAGAAATAATGGACGGATGATCGATAGAAGATTCACAATCAACGTTCGTCTTTGTTCAATTTGTAATTTCAAATTATACGATTTATCGTATTTAAAACATTTTTTATTTAACATTTTAAATTTGTATTTAACTGTTTTGCCGACTCTATAGCTTCTAAAATGTAACATATTTATAGCAAATGCTTCAATTCCAAATTCAGTTAATTTACTTGACCCCAGCTTCTTTTTGATTACGCATATCGTCAACATATTATGATCCAATGTTTCTATTGCGTTCAAGTGAAGAATGACTGAATCGGTTGATTTACGTTATTTGATTGAAGACTCACTGGAAATAGTTTCGAAGTCAAACATAGATATTGCTTGAGATTGTACAAAATGTATTATTCATGAATCTTTCTGTCCACGTAGTACCGTGGTTTTAGCAGTCATCTATAATGAATAATGATTGTATAATGTTAGTTGTTTTTCCGGCTGTATGTATAATATTATAATCTTAAATAGGAAAAATATTGAACTGGTGATGACAATAGTCATTCAAATAAACGAGGGCCATAAACATACCATTAAACGCGGACCATCCTAGTAAGCCCAAAAATACCGATTTATTATCTGATAGTTGCAAGCTATTTCCGCCATCGTTAGACGTCAGTGTAGTTTTCTCTTTGACGTACCCTAATGTTATTCGATTTATTATTATTTTTCACACTTCACTACAGCTTAAAAATATAAATCTTCAAACTCATTGCTGTATTCGTAGTGTTCTTTATTTCAATATTGGGCGTGTCTTCTTCGATCTCTAATTGTATTTTGTTGTACTCGCGACATGTGTAGGTGCTCCTTCACATTTATCTATTTTGCATTACTCACTAAGATATCAATGTCTCTCTCGGTAAAGTTTATATCTTTCTAGTTAATTTGCCTACTAGGCAAAGTTTAAGACTGGTAAAATTATGGAAGCACATACTTCTATACTTTGGATGAATTGAAAATAGTTTTTACTCCAATTGATCTTGCAATACAAAATGGTACCTAATTAAAAATTATTTTTGAACAGCACGCCAATGTTCGACACTGTTAACTTGAATGCAAATGCCATTGTAAATTTCACTACTCTTGTCACTGGCTAACTGCAACTTGAATGGTCACAGATGAATCCACACTACATCTGGACAACAGACCATAATATTGGATAATTAATTTACTGTAAAAAAGTTTTTTTTTTAAGACATTTTTTAAGTTTTTAGTTCTATCTTGAAGAATTTGATATTTTTAAATAGCATCTTTTGGTTCCAAGCCTACGAAATCCTTTATACTCGGATGACTTATACGTCTATAATATGTATGTTCAGTGGCGTAGCCAGGAATTTTTTATGGGGGGGGCTAAGTATACAAATACAATGTGTTTTTTATTTACGCTTTTAATTTTTTTATTCATCTTGATAAAATTCTAAGGTCAACATCGGTCAATGGGGGGGGGGGGCTATAGCCCCCTTAGCCACCCCCCCTGGCTACGCCACTGTGTATGTTGTACTATAATATATTTTAGTACAAAAGTAGATATTATTATTATTTATCACTTTAATATTATGATGGTTCTTTACTATTGATTATTAAATTTAAAATAAGTCGTTATCGACTATGGTGTTAATATTTGACAATACTTTGTTTTCCTACAACTTTTAAATAATTATATTTGGATACATAAATTATAAGGTTATTAATTTATATTTTATTTTTTTTTTTACAGTCTACAGTATGAATTATTTATTTTATTTTTTATTTTATTGATATTTAAAATGTATTTGGGTTTGAAAGTTTCTCGGTAAATTTACACAAGCAATATTTTTCATTGTTTAATTTTTTTTTTTAATTTTGAAATCGAAAACATTTTAGAAATTATACGTTATAAAGGCTATAAATTATGGAAGAGTGTGCATTTTACTAGTAATAATTTTAGTAATTTAAATTAGTGATGTAAGCTCAGTAAATTTACTGGTCAGGTAAATTACCGGTAAATTTACCAACTATTTTTTTACCAAAAAAAATTTGCATGTTTCACCTAAAATGGCTAAAATTAAACGTCTTCACTTGGCCAATATTCATCAGTCATAACATATTAATAAAATGGAATAGTTTATATTATAAAATGTAAAACGTTCACAACCACTGATAGTATAGTACCTATACTTCATAACATTAAACATACGAATACACCATAAGAATATCTGAGACGATTATTCTATTATGCCAATTAATATAAATTTGATTTTTCAAAAATATAGATAATAAACCACGTTTAAAATATTAGTAATGTTAAACTTTTCAAAGCTTTGGGGCATCGGTCGAACTTCTCTGATTATTTTTAAATGTTGTATGCGTAATAATTTTATTATTTTTTACACATATTAGAACTAGAACCCCAGTCAAAAAATTAAAAAAACTTTAAAATAACGACCACCCTTTTTTTGAACAACTTAGTATCCAGTAAATAAAAAAAAAATGTTACAATAATTATAAGTTCGTTTAAATGCGATAGAGAGGAGTTTCTGGGGGTGTTCCTATGGGAACATACCAAAGTTATCAAAATTTACCAAATTTACGGTAAATTTAAATAAATTTTTCTCGGTAAATAACAAAAAAAAAATTTGCGTAAATTTTATATCTATAATTTAAATATATTAAATATTATTAAATATAAATATTATTAAATTTATTTAACTGGTATTTCCCCCGACCAAGTTACACTATTTTAGTGCGGTTTGATAGTGTGAATAAATTTGCCTAACCTAACCTATTTAAAATTATTTTTTAATTTTGTTTGTTTCTGAAAAATGTTTTAATTCTTAATATTTGTTGGCATAGTGTATATTATATTTTAATAGTGGAGCACATACTATAAATAATTTATTAAAAAACTGAAATTAATATAAAAATTAAGATTAAATTTAGATTTGTTTTTTATTATAACACTGGAAAGACCTCAGACGTCAGATTCTCAATCGATGCGCTTAAGGGCCAGTTGTTCAGTCTACGGTTAAACTACGATTAAGCATAATCATAACAGATACCTAACAGATATTTAACCGGGAAAATTCGGCCGATTTAACTCCGGTTAACTTATGATTTTACAACTGGCTACAACTGAGTTAAAATTATTAAGACACTGTATAACGCCCAATTTGAGTACCGTTTTAATTAATAAACTATGAAAATATTATAAAAATAGATAATATCATTTAAGATTTTTTTTTATTTACACAAAAAACTATTTGATTTTAAAGTCCTCAACTGAACATTTTGTAAATTTATTGAGAATTGTTCAAATAAATATCTATTTATGCGCATTAATCATAATATATTAAAACTATCATAAAACTATTCTAATAAATTACCGTTGGGTTTTTCGTTTCTAGAAAACTTAAGTAAGTTGATTTTGATTTATTTTATTCTATATTATACTCGATTAATCTTACATGAGTACATAATTAAGACTATAATGCTTATATATTATCTATATATATAAAACTGAAATCAAGAAAAAGAGGAAATCTTTGTTACGGTTTGGCTTCGAAACTTCTTTTCCAATTGTCATGCAGTTTTTTTTAAATAAAAAGGATATCACGGAGCAGGTTTTAGGCATAAATAAAGTCCGATAATGTTAGTCAATAATTAGTTATCCATACATATAAAATCCAAATACCACTGACTCACTGATCGCTGTATCTCAAAAACTACTCAACGTACGGACTTGAAATTTGGAATAGAGGTTCTTCTCATATTTTCACCGAGCAATAAGAAAGGATTTGCCAAAATTCGCATTTTAAATAGGTGCTCAAACAAGGACATTGAGATTCACGATGGAAATTGGAAATTTTATTTGTATTTATTAATAGTTGCCATTGGTTACAGTCTACATTAGAAATTAGCATTTATTTATTAGTTGTCATTGGTTATTCGGGCAGATCAGGTACAAGCTTGCATCAAATCGAATTATTGAACATTGCCTATACCAGGGTGGCTGAGTTGCACTTACCGCAGCAAGTTACACCCAAAAGGAGTTCAACAATCATAATTTTTTTGAGAGTTGCGATTG